GGGCGTCCCCCTCCCCGCGCGGCTTTCGGCGGGGATGGAGGGAAAGGAGACACTGGGAAAGGTGGCATGCTTCCTCGGATTTATCTTTAGTTGTGTGTCAGCTGATAAATACCAGATGCCTACGGATTTTCAAGATGACCTTTTCGATAGTTAATTTGAATTTTAAATTTTAATTAGCTGTAATCCCATCAAAAGTGAACTCCTTTAGAGTAAAAAGTGTTGTAGCACGCTCCGCTCCGGGCCTGCTGGGGCCCATCCACAGTTCCCACCGGAGCACGCAGGGTGAAATCTGGGCGCCGCTGAAATCCGTGGCAAAACTCCCACTGGCTTCGCTGGAGCGCAGGATTTCTCCCTTACGCTGCTGAAAGTTGGACTTGGGCCGACAGGGAATTAATATCCCTGTTGTGAATTGTCCTCGGAGCCTGTGGGCTACGAACATGTGTAACAGTGGGGATCGGAGGTAAAGATGGCCTCAGATCTGCAGCACTGCGTTAGGATACCCGATCTAGATTGGTTTTACATATATATTTTGCTATGCTTAAGAACAAAAGGGATGAGTTGTACAATATTGTTAGGTCTGAGCAAGCGGAGAGAGGACCCGAACGTGTAAGGTCACTTCAGAGCTCTGCTGCAAGCACCCTGTGTGATTTCGGTCAGGAATCTGGTCCATGCTTTAGCTTCCAGCAAGTGAAGCAGAGAAAGTCCTTTCTTTTCCTTCGTTTAGGTTGTCTGGATTATGGCATCTGCAGGACAGGAACTTTTTTATGTACATACATCTCTTACAGTGCACAATGGTAGCATTAGCACCTTAAAACGTCAGTTTTATTGATTGAAATATTTATTGCTAATTCAATCCACTTTGATATTTTACCTGTAGGCTCTTTTCACAGAAGCGTGGATCTATATCGCTGGCAACCGCTTTTCTCTTACGAACCGGATTCACCTCGATTAGTTAACTGAATTGGCACTAATTGCCAAGACATTTGGCAACTGGGTGGTTTTTGAGTATTAATGATGGCATCCTCATAAGGCTCTTCTCTGGTGTTTGGTAATATTGTTTTCCGTGCTGTTAAACTGGGAAACTTGGGCCTAAGAACGTGGAGGTGCCCTACTCCAGCAAGAGAATTAGAGGTCCTGGGGTTAAATTTGTCCCTGCTCAGGAAAGCCGAGAGCTTTATCTGTTTGTCCACAGTCACAGACACAATCTGGGAATGGGAACTCTCAGTGCTTTTTAAAGACAAGTCTTATTCCTTAGTCACAGCCTGATAACACAGACTCTTCCAAAAGTGAAGTGTTTTCTTCCCAGAAGTGCGAGCACAGTTCCCCTGAAGTTATTCTGCGTGGATGTGTTGACTCGCAGGGTTTCTCTGTCTTTGTACACTGGCAGTATTAATTAGTCTCTTGTATTTATAAGAGCTATGACGCTCGGCATAAATCCCTTATTTTGTGTAAATAGTTGTTCTTTCCCCCCCCCTCTTCTTTAATAATACAGGGAGGAAAAAGAAAATGAAAAAAGAACCAAGGATTTAATTCCTATTTGCTTTCTAAAAGCTAGTAATAATCATCTACAATCCAACAGTATTTTATTTTTAGTAAACCAATTACAATTTTACAGTAACTATAGTTGTTGCCGAGTATGAAATGTCACAAAAAATGCAACAGCATTCCCGTTTTCTTTAGGTCTCTATTTTGCACGTTGTTTGCTTGCTTTTTGTAAGGGCTCCAGAAACCCTGCACTCGCCTTCACGCCAAGGTAACGATAGATACAATACAATTGTTGTACTGATTTAACTACAGTTGTATAAAATACTGGTAGTGCGACTCTAATGTAAACAAGCCCTCAATGATTACTGGAGGCAAGGCAACAGGAAGAACTACCCCAGAAACTTTACTCTGAAAGCACCTGCGTTTCTGAAGGCCCTCATGAAAGCACGAAATCATAACCAAACGATCCCCTTTCATCTCTGCCCTCTGAACCCTTGGCCGTCTGCAGATTCTCCTAGTATTAAGCTGAGAAGGAGGCTCCGTTTTCAGTCCTTCCCCGAGGGAAAGGTGCCAGGCGGCAGCTGCCCGACTGCTCCAGCCAACACGAAACTCTCTGGCCGGCGTCCGCGCGCGAGGGGGAGACGGCGACCACCCCGTCACCGAGCGTGGGGATGGCTCTCGCCGCTACGTGAACGGGTACCGCGAGAGAAAACGTCGGGGGCGACCGTGTCCGGGGTCGTCGCGCGGTGACGTGCTTAGCTGTCCAGCCAAAACCCTCCTAGGTGCCAGCGAGCGTTTTAGGGCTGAGGAAAGAATACAAGTTTAGGAGAGCAGATTGAGGGCAGAAATCGGTGGTGATGGCAGGGCTTTTATTTGCCACGCAAGGCTAGCCGTGGACTGGGTTGGTTGTGCTGCCTGGATGCTAGCCAAAGCCCACAGAAATTAGTCGAAAAACCAACTGGATCAGCTCCATGCAGCCTGAGGACTCGCTTCCATTCTTACCCCTTTGATCCAACAAGAGTATATGTTTACCAAGTGGGGCCTCTCTATCCCTCTTTGCTGGCCAAATGCAGAAGTGGCAGCAACAGGTTTTTCATGTGATTTAATCGTTTTTTCTCTCACCTCATTGGGTAGAAGCCTCCTTGTGTTTGCTTCCACGTGGTTTCAGTGCTTTAATGTTCTTTTTTTGTATGGCTTCAACTTTGTGGTAGTCCAGTCGCGTTTCAGAGGGAGAGGCAGGGACTGAGATGGTTTATGACTTGCGGGAATTGAAGTTTTATTAAGCGTATTGGTCACAGCAAGGTTTATTTGCAGAAGTTCTTCCAAACTTTCTCAAAGGTTCATTTCTCCCATGCAGAGTGCAGCACACCTTAGAAGGACTGAATGCTTCATTCCCCACTCAGAAACAGGGAGGAATTTAACCCCAAAGGACGCTGAACCACATGGGGCCAAGTGAAGGAGCTGCCACCGGCATCTGTGGAGCTATCCCAATTTGAAGTCTATTCCAGTACTTACATTCCAGTCACATCCGAGGTCAGCGTGCAGTCAAGCCATAAAGCTTGGGCATGACCTTCCCAAAGATCCTTTGCAAGCCCATCATACAAGGCTCAAGGAAGCAATACCTTGCACTGTTGCAATTCCA